AATATTCGGGATTATCAATAATGCATGATTACTGACCTGATTAGCTATTTTTGGGTATAGGTGACGTTCCCATGAATATTGTTACTTTGTTTGGATTCATTATCGCTTTCAGCAGTGTGCTATCACCATACATAGTATAATGATGGATGTGATATTCGCAAGAAATAATTTTTTTTACCCCAGAAAATTTCAGTTCCGGGGAAAATTAAAAAACAGGTGTTCCGCACTTTTCCATGTTCTTTCAAACGCAAATGATTTTATAAAATTCTGACCTTTTTTTTTGAAAACCAAAATTTTTATAGGGGTAGTTTCCCCTCAAAATTTCAACCCCCGGAGGAAGGATCAATTTCGATGTTCTTCATTTCTCACCAGCTATTTATTAACTTGATGAATTGAATAAATAACTCCACTACTGTGTTGGGTGACATTTCCGAGAATTTTTTTTTCATCCCAGAAAACTTCAGTTTCGGAGAAAATCCAAAAACAGGTATTCCGCATTTTTCCATGTTCTTCCAAACGCAATTGGTTTTATGAAATTCTGAGCCATAGTTTTTTTTTTGATAAATAAAATTTTTACAGGGATAGTATACCCCCAAATTTCAACCTCCGGAGGAACTATCAATTGTGATCTTCATAATTTCTCACAAGCGATGTATTACCGTGATTAATATTTGTGAAAATATTCTTCCTATAGGTGGAATTGAAGGATCACCCCGAAGGTGCTCACATTCTGACCATGGTTTCACCCTTTGAAGCCGCGTATCAGCCGATAAAAAAAATACGTGTCCTTTAGTTTTGAGTCCTCTACAACATATGTGAGTTTCATCGAAATCGGAGGGGAACACCTCCCTAGTGTTCTTCGTAAGAATGAAATGATAATTTTTGAATTGAAATTTCCATTAGTTAGGAAGAATACCTATAAACTCTATGAATTAATTCCTCTCCCTATTCCTCACGAAAATTCCTCAATCTATTCTTATATTATTTCTAAAACCAATTACCTCTTATACTATGAAACCCTATTTTCCTACCTGTACGAATTGTCGAACTGCATAGAGTACATCAGTACTCAATACCTATGTCGAAACATCGACACCATCCAGACGACAGAACAGCCAGCCTGCGAAGTCGAGCTCCTAAGTCCATATATGAAGAGATTTCCAATTGATTGTACCACAAAAACCTCCGCAGTCGATTCAGAAATTTGGAAATACATCCCGACCAACCAATGGATCTACTCCATTCAACGTTCAACAATTCTCACAATTATTTGCAATAACGAACAATCATATATGCAAGACGTCATCCTCCAGCAAACTGGAATTCCCAAATTAAAAGAAAAATGCAAAGGCTATACCAACTCCTTTGTACTTGAAACCAGTGACAACAGCAAGAGCAACATCATCTACTACTTACCAATAATCAGCATCATAACCCATGATGGCTGCGCCTCATCTTTTCAACCAGAGAAATTAAAAATGAAGCCAGTTAATTTCATTCGTTCATTAAAAATAGATTACTCCGATCTTAAATACTCCAACATGATACTCAACGAAACTGAAAAAGTCATCACTCATCGTTTGAATGAGCTTTTCATCATTCACAATAACAGTTGGATCACCACGATTCTCACCATCATTGAAACCGTCCTCATGATCATCATGATGTTAATTTTTTGCAAATACTGCAAATATCCTTTCTGGGTCAACAAGTTATTTCATTCCATCAACTACGACAAGCAATCCACTACACCCTTGATCAAGAACTACGAGAACTGCACCTTGAACACTGAAGTCCACACCGACGTCGTTAGATCATCAGAAATGGTACCCTACATCGCTGCCAGTGGCACTCCTGTACGAGGCAGAATACCATCAATCAGAACGCGAAACAGAGACTGAAGATAGTCCCCAAGCTCTTCGTTTTCAACCGAGAAATCGCGCTTACCATCCTAGCACTACTCCCATTTAAAGAAAATTAGTTCATTCATGTTTTTACATACTTATTTTCTACTCTTCTATTTTTATATTGATAATTAAGGTTCAATTCTATACCAAATTACTTTTGAGATGAGAAGAATTTTAATTAAGATTATTTTCAACAAATTGTAAACTCCCGTTTTCAATTTTAACAAGGGAAGTGTTGTGTTGGAAAGGTGGCGCCAGCTCCCGGTCCCACTGAGCTTAGGCCCTTGCGTATGACATATATATTCGTTATGAGGAGACGAGATCTTGCGCATGCGCGGATCTCCTCTCCATCAGGTTGTAACTTGTGAGAGTTCACTCTACTGCGAGACGCGAGACGTCTTGTAGCCAATAAACCAGTGTTCCAATAATAAAACCCGTGTACCAGTTATTGTGTCCACACCCGCCATCCAACAGGTTAAGAAAGAAGTAAGAAGTAAGAAAAAAAAATAACAGTGACAGTGAAAAATAAGGACAAACCCTCAGGAACATAGTACCAAGTGTCTGGTAGTTTCAGGTGGCGAGGAAAGGCGAGAGAAGGCTGGAAAGATGGAAAAGCCAGAAGGAGAGAGGCGTAAGTACGGTTGAATGTGCTATACCGGTGGTAAGCGTCTCGCAGACAACGAACAGGGGTTGCGTCATCGCGGGGAGATTGGCGGGAACAACGTGGACGCTGGGAGACAAGATGGTGGACAACAAACGTTAGTCAAACCATCAAACGAAAATTCGGGAAAAAAATAACATATTTAATTAGGGAATTGAAAATCCCAAAGAAAATTAAAATACAAATAGATTTAAATAGGTGGGAATAATATATGTTGAGGGATGAGTTGGAAGAGTTGTAATATGGTGAGGGACGCGTCCAATACATAGAGAATCGGTGAGAGAAGCGTCCAAGTATGGAGAATCGGTGAGAGACGCGAACAGTGTAGAGTCGGTTAACGTGATGGGTGCGCGCGCAGCATTGGTGGGAATAGTGACCAGAAGTGGCTGTAGTTAAGCAGTACACACAAAGCTCGAGCGAATGATGAGATGGCGAGATGTAGAAAAGAGAAGGGGTCATGCGGCTCTACGCCAGCGCGCGCGCAGCGCAACTGCGGCCAGCGGCAAAACTAAATTCAAATTTGAAATTGATGCGAAATACAAATAAGACGAGAGTGCACAAAAATCAAAACAAGCCCAAATCAGCAAACTAATAAATAAATTACCATAGGTGACGACTTGTGGGAGCTGTGGAGGCAATTAACGTTCCTCTTTGGATTTGATGAACTCCATGAAGGAGAGGACGGCGTCCTGGAGTTCGTAGAGGAAACCGCATTAATACGAACAGACACAATTAAGTGTTATAAGTTTGGTGAGTTGAGATGAATTAAAAAGGAGAGTTACGATGAAAAATGCATGCGATCAAAGTGCTTGTGAGGATATTAGCTAGCAAATATAATCACAAATTAACTAAGCACTGAGAATGATCAAATGAAACAAAAATACTAGTTAAAAATTCAGAATAAAATCTGAAGTTTGGTTGCTCCAAAGGGGTAATCAATGGAAGCGTGCTTGTGTTCAGTGCGTGGAAATTGATCAGCTCTGTCGGACATAGAGGGGATATTGTGTTCATATCTCGTCTGTGTCTGACTGTCCTGAAGCTGACTATACTTGTGTTAATACTAATATTCATAGATTCTAGTTATCGCAATAGCCAAAAGCATGATGGCAGAGAACCAGCGGAGACTACTGGTGGAGTGGCATGAGCAAAAGCTCCTCGCCAATAAACTTCTCATCATGCCCAAAATTTATGAGGAGCAACCACCAATTACTACCGAGGTGAGTGAGATGAGCAAAGGTGAGGAGAGCGACGGTGAGAACAGGGAGGACGGTGAGAACGGAGAGGATGAGAAAAGTGAAGGTGCGTCGGCCGAACAAGGTGCGGGACAAGCGGCAGTAATTGAGGCTCTCAAAGTAGGTAAAAGTAAACCCCAGATTACAAAAATCGAGTACGTGGAACCTAAAGTTAAAATAAGCTCCCCGTTACGAAACCACCCGAAAACTCCAATGAAATACCACGCGAGCAAACCAAGAACTGAAATTCCAATGGAAGGCAGACTTGAATCGGTGTGCTCGAAACTTGATGCTGTGACCAGCACACTCGTGAAGGTTTTGGATATTCAGACCAACACCAGTGGCTGGATACTAGACAGCATCAAGGAAATGAGAAAAGAGATGAGCGAGATGAGGAACAGCCGGGATGACAGGCTCTCCCGTATCGATTACCCCATATGGAAAAAATATATATACAGAAATATATGTCACTTATATCCGCTTATATGTGGTATAGTTTCCGGCAAAAAATGCAATATTTGAGATATATGTTGGATATATATATATATATATATATATATATATATATATATATATATATGTACATATATGTCACCGGGTATACCTAGCATATACCTGGTGTACAAGGCGGATATATTCAAGATATAATGAGAGATCTCACAAACTTTTGCATGTCTTGGATAGTAGCATAGAATTCAGAGGAGATCAGAAGACTTTAGATGAGCATAAATTCAAGGTGAGAGATATTCTAATCAATCACATCGATAAAAACTATCACTCTAAAGTAGTATTACTAGAAGATCCAGTAGCTATTCTAAATAAACTCAAAGAGATAAAAAGATACGAAACTAATGTATATCTTCATTTGCGGTGAGAAAAGAAATCTCCAATATGCAGTATGTGATTGGAAAAATGACAGCAGTTGAGTTTTGTGAGAAATTTGACGAGGCGATTCGAACATATGAAAACTTCTCAGATGCAACCCCTCTATCCGATGGGGAAAAGAGGGACGCTTTTAATAATGCCATCATGGGATCTGTACCTATGGACGGGGCGGCGGAACAGGAATTTTTGGCGTATGGTCGAGGTCCACGAGGGTCACTTGGGCAACTAAAAAATACGTACCTTTTTTTTCAATGTAAATTATTTATTATTTAAAACAATTATCAAGTTGATAACACATTAATAATTTAATAATTTCTATTTGCCAAACGTGGCAGTGCGGTTCCTGTTCTTTGCAGCAAACTCGTTCACAATACTGTCTAGGTCTAGTTTGTTGGTCTGCTCGTGATGAATATACAAGGTGGCAAGACTATTCAAGCGCTGAAGAACTACATGCATTGTTGATCGCATGTAGTTCTTCAGATACTTGAGAGTTGAAAAACTCCGCTCATTTGTGCACGTGGAATTGGGGACCGTCAGCAGAATGAACCTATAGTACCGTCAGATGAATGAACCTACAGTACTCTTTGATGAGTCCTTTCACCCATTCTCCTTCAGAAAAATCATCACATCTTTGACTGAATTTATTTTATAGTGATGTCGAGCGGCTGTTTCCAAGAAATACTCCTGATCTCTCATGAGGTCGTTTCTCTCATTTCTCAAATCATCCCCATAAAAATATACAATCCTGTCGATGTCAGCGTTTTTCCCCACTGCGAAGGATTCGTACTCATTTAAAAATGAAGTAGTTTCAGAGTCAAATTGAGTCTTCAATGGAGAAACAACATAATCGTGAATCGCGCAATAAATTCTTCTGTAGAAATCCTTGGGTTCATGAATTCATGAGCCTCGGACGATGTGTCATATCGCTTGGGACGTCTACGTTGTCGGAGGAGCTGCAGAGCTCCGATCTCCAGCGCAACTGCTTCGGATGTTTCCATTTCCCAGATTACCTCGTACTTCGAGTCTCGTGCGTTCTCCAGACTACATATTATCTCCTGGACTTTTCCGTGTCCATCAATTACACATAAATCAGGATTTTGGAGTTCTGTGTTCAGAATTTCAACCTTTTCGAATATTTGAATGATTGCTACTAGAAGAAAATAAAAATTAAAAGACTCCACCTCCTTAAGAAATCCGCTGGCCTTACAGGAAATATTGCTGTTTACATCTCGATCATTTTGTAAAGCGTCAAAGTAACTCAAAGCTGCTGCATAGTTTGATTTTTTATGGAGCCTCTTCAACAATGAAACCATCATAATCCGTCTGCAATAATGAGAACATAGTGAGAATTCGGTGAAACTAGAGTCTAAAGGGGTAGACGGTAAGGGGAATCTATTATACACACCTTGTTGGGCAGAAAGCGGTCAAGGCCTGAATTTTCTCACTCTCATCTAGCGAGAGGAGTTGTAACTCGCAATATTCAGCGATTCTCTTCGGAGAATTATGTATAAAATTAATCAGTTCCTTGACTATCCCAATGAAATTCTTAACTTCAAGCATTGCCTCCAGGGCATCTTGGACCACAAGATTGAGCTGATGAGCATCACAATGGACGAATAGAGCCCGCTTTTCCACTTGACAAATGGGAGTTCTCAAACACGTGATTTTTCCTGCCATGTTGGGAGCTCGATCATAACACTGACCTCTCAATTTCTTGAACTCCAATTGGTATCGTTGGAAAATATCGTTGATGATACTAAATAGTGTGACTGATTTGGTACTTGACGTATTGTAAAAGCCAAGGAAAATCTCTCTGGGGGATAACTCATTCGATACCACTCGGACTGTGACTGAGATTTGTTCCAAGCGAGAAACATCAGATGTTTCATTTATCATCAAAGCAAATAATGGAGATGCTTTGATGATATCGAGGTTTTTAGTTAATATTTTCTTGTACATAAGATCAAGGATTTCATTCTGGCTGTCGTGATGCAACCATTTGTGGGCGTCACGGCGCAACCAATCTTTCAATTCTTTAACGTCCTCAGACCTGGCGCTTAAAATCTGTAGGAAATTGGAGCGCTGGTCGTCATCAGTTCCCCTCAGGGGTAAGCCCTGTTTCGCGAGAACCTGAATGGTGTGGACCATTTTCTTCAGAGCAATTCGGTTGCTCGTCATTTCTTTCGCTCTTCCAGAAGACAAATGCTGCAAAACATTACCTGAGTTACTCTGATTTAATAATTCGTGTGAGGTTTGATGGAGAGTACTTTTTTCATGTGACGGGAAGGATTTGTAGGCGTTCTTGAAACCCTTGAATCCGTTTGTGACAAACGCTTGATTGTGACGCTACCTTGTTGGGGTCTGATGAAACAGGCAGCTGCTTTGAGACTGCCTCCGTACAAATATTGCATACAATTCCTTGGCTGTCATTCACAGCAATCCATGGATATGTCTTTCGCCAAGTTGTAACTTTTGTCTGAAACCCGAGATCAAGAACTAATGACAGAAAAAAAGGTTGATTGATCATCCAGGAAATTTTTTCACCTAACAGAGCCGAGAGAGTTATTGAAGTCAAAATACCTTGATTCATTTACGTCACCTCCAACAGTTGAGGTTATACTGACACCTATTCTCTCATTGGGTACTGGCCCATCTGGTGGTTTTAAAACGCCTGATTCTTCATCTCTCTTCCTCTTCTTTCCCATGAGGAAATTATCTAAGGTATTCATGACGCACCACTACATTTAAAAATTGAATAGACCTGAGTTACTCGAAGTACACGCTTTCACGGTATAACCATCGGTTCCCCTTCCATGAGATTTCTGCCTCGAGCGATGAGTACAATGGANCATCTCTCTTCCTCTTCTTTCCCATGAGGAAATTATCTAAGGTATTCATGACGCACCACTACATTTAAAAATTGAATAGACCTGAGTTACTCGAAGTACACGCTTTCACGGTATAACCATCGGTTCCCCTTCCATGAGATTTCTACCTCGAGCGATGAGTACAATGGAAGGGAGCGATGGTGCTGCCAACGGGCAGTTGACTTTTGAAACCGATGTAGAGCTCACCTAAGTGCATCCGACGAAAAAAGCGAAAAGAAATTTCAAGTTGAGAAAACAAATGGGTTAAAAATTGGATTGGCATTCATCAATTTCGTCATATAAACTGCTCAATTTTCAATTTTTCTTCCATTTTTTGGGGTATGGAGTGCTCCGTACCCACCATACCCCTTCTGCCGCCCCTGGATGCGAAGCAGACTTTACCTCCATGTGGTGCATTCTGGGCCACGCAAAAAAAATTTGAATCTTCAATTTGACCACAGAGCATTTTTCATGTAAAATGAGAGAAAATTAAATGAGTGATGAAGTGTCTGAAAACGTTTCATCAAGAGCAACAAGTTTCTTTAAGTGAAAAAATGCGGTTGCCGTTTAAAAAAAAGGTCTTTGTGCTTGAAGCTTACAAACATGCGCTTGCGAGCTTAAAATGGTACATGCATCGAATGTCCCCCTTGAAACCCTACAACTGTTATTTCAGATATTTTTTTGTTACTTGCCCTCCTTAGAAGATATTTAGCCACACCAGTTCCAATGGGACATCCTGTACATATCAAGATAAAGGTAAAATATAAAAGTAGATTTATGACCTTTTTGCTTTACGTGAGACAGTTTTCTAACTTCACAAAAAGCAAAGGTCATTTCTCCATTGATAACTAAACTCTAGATACTTTTTTTGGGCTCCTTTGATGGATTTCCTAACAGCAAAAGTACGTATATGCTGGCGGCTATGACCTTTTACGTAAGAAGGTCATTTTTTACATATACGACCTTTTGCAAACTTTTTCAAACTTTTTCGAACTGTTTTTTAATTTAGCAATTACAAAACTTCCATTCGAAAACAAAGAAGATAATAGCGATGGGGTACATGTTAGCAATGTAAAGTTGGTACCCGACCTTGACGGATTGTTACAAAAATTTGGTCTTCGGTAGATTTAGAGCTACAAGTTGTGGCTCAAGTTACAAGTTGTGGCTATACATTGTGGTGTATATATTTTTTGTTTGTAGTTGGAAAATAAACATTCAATCCCTTTTTCAATGAGAATTAGGAATTATCATATTGTTACAGCTAAAATGATATTGGATTCTTATCTACAATCACGTGTAGTTGATTATGGAATTCGAATTTTTTGGATCAGAATTCAAATTAGCATTTAAATGATTTTTCAAGGTGAAATGGGAATTAATTGCTTTGTTAGCCAGAATTACATCATAGTTCTTATCTGTAAATGTTTGCTTTTTTATAGGTACATGAAGAGACGTAGACAATACAATATGGATATGTATTCCTCAGTTCTTAACATTCCTGGAAACTATGAAGTTCGTCATTTCCTTGTGCCTCATACTATCTGCGAGTCAACTATCGCTACAGGATTCCCATACAACACACAAGGTTAGTAATATTAAATAATAATGGATTGAACAGATGTTGAACAAATACTATACTGTGCAGCGAAAAAAAAAAGATTTTCAGGGACATTTTACTAATTTTCAGGAATCTATCCCCGATTATATTAGGGATTTGCGACTGTGAAATACATTCAATGCCTATTTCTGAAATTCAAAGATTTTGTCACCAATTTTCACCGGCACTAATTTTCAGGGACCCATCTCTAATTTTTAGGAATCTGTCACCAAATTTCAGGGATAAAAATCACTGATGATCAGCGTTATTGTAGTCAGTGTCCACCATCATCTATAATTAGTCATAGATTCCTCAAAATCGGTGGGATGTGTTCCAAGAAATCAATGACATACACAGCAAAAACGAATATTTGAATTTCACACACTTATTGTAGACATTTTTCAGACACTAAAAAAGTCTGAATAAAATGAAAATTTATCTGAATTTCAAACACATTTCCATTTTATTCAGACGTTTTTTAGTGTCTGAAAAATGTCTATAAAAGGTGTGTGAAATTCAGACATTCGTTTTTGCTGTATAGTCCTGAAAATCAAAACTTTTTTTCTCTGTGTATAAAGAATCAGTGATTAATGAAATTTTATTAGTTACGTATTTTCGGAATTTATTTGTGTTATGTAGATATATATGGGAAATTCGAGATACGTATTCTGAGAAACATACCTAAAATTACATTCAACATTCAACATCTCGCTTCACGATTCGACCATATTTCATATAGTCGAATTAGTTGCGATTTTCCAGATAATTGTTCTCCGACTTTTCGCTCCACGTAATAGTCTAAAGGAATACAAGGTGACGTCAGCACAAATTTGTAAGGAAATATATTATGGGAGTTCACAAATTGTAAGGAGAATAGTAAGCGTTAGAATCTTTCAATGATTTAGCCAACAATATCATGGTACTGCCCCGCCATGCCGTCGCCATGGTTGAAAACGGCTATGTTTTGACAATTATGGCGATATTTGCGACGATGATAAAAGTGATATTATATGCGCGAAAATTAGAGCAACATTATGTGCGATATCTTGAGCAATGCTCATTACACCAATCAAACTGAAAATTTTTTTCAACATGGAAAGCAATATTCTGTATCATGTCAAGCCCCATTAACAGCCGTGTCACCGTTTCCAATCCTGTTTTCAGTCAAATACAACGTGATTGGCTGAAGTATTGAAAAATTCGAACGTTCACCATTTGCAAGTCTATTATCGGAATAATTTTTGTACCTTTAAATTCCTGATTTTCAATTCTACATCATTCCTGAACTTGATAAGAAAGGTGCTGACATCATCCTGTATATTCCGCAGTAAGTAATTAGGATCATTTTCAATCTAATACGGCTTATTTCAGATCATTTCCGATTGTTTCATTTCAGAGGATTCGTTTATGCGCTGACCTTGATTTAGACTACGTTACAATTAGCGAGAACTCTTGGTTCAAGGGCTTAGAGCGAAACTCTGATTGGTTCAACAGTATTAAATACCTGAAAAGCATATCGAGCAACAGTCCAATACGTGTAGGTAATCTGCTCGTTGTCACACCGGGTGTTTTAGAGAACTTGTTTTCATCTGTTTATCTCGTTCCTTATACTATCTTCTTATGCAGGTCGATAGTAGAGTGGAGTATAATGATCCTACCAATCTCATCTTCTTCAAAATATCGCACTGGAAGCCTTTGTACTCTAGTTCAACTCACCTCTGCGAACCACAAGAGCGTAGTGACGTTCCGACAGTTATTGTACGAGAGATTTTAGGTATTCATGAGGAATGTCCGATTTCGGCGGTGAGCAATCTTTTTTGACAATTTTTCGGTTTTCATCTCAGAGTCATGACGCGATATCACATAAAATACGTAGATAATTGCATTATTTAAAAATAAATGAGTAGAGTTATTGTTCCTACGAAATTTGCAATTTACTCCCTTTAGTCAGGAATTAATTGGGACTATGAATTAATAAGCATAAGTATCCAACATAATGGACTAATACCTGAGGTTAATAGAGATGGAGTTTCTGATATATAAAGCTCGCTATTGTGTAACTTAACAAGCAACGATTCTATCCTCACCATCTTTCAACTTGATGAAGAAGGCATTGAAACAAATTTTTCAAGCCCTGATGTAATGGATATTGTTAATCATTCTTTCCGTAATCATGATAAACCCGATTTTCCCTTTCAAATCGTATAAACATTATCAAATCTCCGGAAATGTTAATTTTATTTGGTATTAATGAATAGAGCTCATTAAAATATATATTTATGGAGAAATAAAATTAAAAACCATGTACCTATATATGTACATCAGACACCATCTAAGTCGCGTATTCGGGTATCACGACTAAATAACTCCGCAAAAATAACTTTACAAATATAACTTCGGAAAAATAACTTGGAAAAAAAATAACTTCGGAAAAATTACTTGAATAAAATAATCTTTTAAAAAAAATAATTTTAAGCATTATGAACTTTTACAAAAATAATCACAAGCATTATGAACTGAAGGGTTATTTAGGATTGAAATAACGATTAAACACAGTTTTATTATCGTAAAAGTAATCAAGCTTTATTCAGACAACGTAATGCGACAACGGTCGAGGCACAAGTGGTGCTTAGTACGAGTATATCATTTAGAGGCGCAACGGCGCCGTGGCGACGCAGTCTGCCACACTGTCGGTAAAGAGGGAGACTGGCGTAGGGCGCTATATTCCAACCCTCCCTCCCGCCATAGGCAGTATCCTCTTTTCCTCTCCAGTTTTCTTCTCTTCTAGTATTCTTTTCTCTCCTAGTATTCTATTCTCGTTAATCACAAAATTTCTTATTCTTATTTTTGGTAACTTTATCTCGCCTCAGTATTCTTGTCAGGTAATTTCAGTTGGTTTAACTCCTCAGTTTCCATCTCGCCAATCAGTTACTTCCTAGATAAACAGAAAGAAATAATTTAGATATTTACGTTCATTATTAGATCCATCAAACGCTTGTGTGTTTCAAACGTCAATGGCTTGGTGAAAACATCAGCTAGCTGATCCCATGAGCCAATCCAAATGATTTTTATGATTCCTTTTAACACATTCCTTTATATAATGTAACTTGTTTTCTACAATGTGTCTTAATTTCATTCATCCACTTGTTTCTGCACTCACAATAGCAGATTTATTATCACACCTTAAGATCATTGGAACAGGGGGATCAACCAGTATCAGTTTCAACGAGTTGTGCAACGACATCATTTCTCGACTCGCCTCGCT